TTCTATAATATTCGTTAAATTACAAAAACAATTCACTATAAATCAATGCCTGCATAAGCTAGAACCACAAGGGTTAAGTAAAGTAAAACTAAAAATCCTACAAGAATCCACCAGTAACTATATTCGCCTGAAAAAGAAATGAATATCAAACTGTTATGTTTTTCTCAACATGGACTAAGGAAATGTGGTTGCTTAACTCAGTTTTTCCCTATAATATCCGTGCTCCTTTTAAGGGATATAAATGCTGATCTGGTTGAAGTAATTAAAGTAATACATTTTGTTGTTGTTGTTGTAGTTGGTTTTCATGCATACTGTAAGAACACTTTTTCTGGTGGCCTTCCCTGAATAGCCATTGTCTTAATAATTATACCTTTGGCCTAGAAAGTCACAAACCCTTGTAACAAGTAACAAAACTGCAACTACATGCAGTATCTTAGTTTCAGATACAGTGCAAAAAATATCTTAACAACCACCAATTGACCAAGCTAATGGGCTAGAGTTAGGGTCAGCATTTGAGGAAATAACAGGATGTTTTTTTTTCATTCTATTTATCATCATCATTTTTTAAATCTTACGTTTTAACTTGGTGGTATGTCTCAGTCTTTATGACATTATGGCATCAGTTTGTCTAACTGTTATATTAAATTCTATTTTGAGGTTCAGTGAATTGGATTTAATCTGAGGCAATTAGATTGTAATAGTAAAAACAATTTATTTGTACCTCTTCTTTTAAGGGTAGTAACTTTACAAGCATTGTCAGCAGATATACTAAGCAATGCAAACTCGTTGCGCAGGTGATCATTGATGAGTGGAGAACTGGGAAGGAATGTTAGTCCTGTGACGAAGATGTTGTGAACACCCTTAAGAGTAGTCAAGGGCTGCAGACAGAAAGAATATAATTGTTTCTAAGAAAATAATGACAAACACTTTCATCATGGAACCTCTACAATTGACTGAAGGAAATTTACATAAGCATATGATACATGAAATTCATCATTACACTATACAATGAAATAACCAAAACTAATGAGGTCTTAAAGTGCGGAGGCAGGACATTGTCCTTCCACATGTATATCAATGACTGATGGTTTTTAGACATCCACATCAGATTCAACCTTCCTACCCTTTATCATTGTTGTCCCAAGAAACATCCTGTAAGGCAATCCTTCTGGCTAAAGATTAACCCAAAACATTTAATACCTAAATATTGTGGCTGGAAAGGAATCAAAATGAAGCTATTGTCTGAAAGAATTTTTCCATTTCTCAGTGCATAAGTCTTGTACTTCAAGTTAAACAAAACCTAATTCATTAATTAAAATTCACATGATACTTACAGCCAGATTCCATGCAATGTAAACTGAGATATCACCTTCTGCTGTTCCAACTCCAACAAATATCCCATTTCCACTGAGGAAAAAGTCAAACCAATATATGAATGAAATTAAAGGCCAATTATAGCTAAATTGCTCCCTCTAAGGATGGAAAAACACCACCATAAAATACACTGTAGCTGTCAAATGGCATATACATGTACAACTTTTTAAATAAAATCAAATTCGCAGGTTACATACATGTATAGGGGTGGGAAGATTGGACCTTTGGCAACTGTACCTGATAGCCATTTGTGTGAGAGGTTCAATACCAGCAGCCTGACTCAGTTGTGGCAGCCATTTTGTGCAGTCCCACTTGACTAAGTATGAAGGTGTTGGAGCCTTTCTACTGAACTTGGATGGCACATTTATTGTAAACAGACTCACTTCCTTTCTTTCATTGCTAGAAAACCTGCCAAAAAAGGATAAAAGAATTTAGATATTTAAATCAATTGTCATTACCATGGGTGCTTTTATTTCCTAAATGAAAAACATTGTTCTTGTTCTCTCAATTCCAATTTTACTTCTTAAAAAAATGGACAATTTTCAAGAAATGATTTCAAAAAAGAAGACTAAACTTTTCATACCTGCATGCCCTGATTCTAAAGAAGTTATCTTCATTATTAACAGAAAAATACAACTGGAATTGTTTTTTGCCTTCTTCCAGCCTCCACACATAAGCTGTTGTGTCTCTTGAGCATGTTACAAACTGTGAATATAGACAATAAAATTAAAAAAAAACTTAAACAAATATCTTAATAGAGCTTACAATTACATACAAATTACCAGGCAAGAATACTTATTTTCATCTTCAGGTGATGTTGTGCATGTACATAAAGAATCATATTAGTGACAGATAAATCCATACCATTAAGACAAAAAAATATATAATATAGATTGACATAAGGCCATGAAAAGTTTTTATTCTATTTTCCAGAGGGTAATTGTCCAATCAAGAGATACCAATTTTGCCATTTGCATGTGGTTTGAGGTCCTGGTGAAACACTGGAATGAGGCATTATCCATGAGTTTTATTCTTCTTCAAACTCTTGACTTTAATAAAGCATCAAACTCTAGTGAACTCATTTCTTGATTTGAATATCAATGACACATGTTTGAATTCTTCATGACAAGGTGTGAAAAATTCCTGAACATTTCCATTTTCTTTATTCCTGAGGTGCTTTTGAGGAGCTCTTTCAAAAAACTTGTGCCACATGTTTCATCAGGATTCCCAAACACTCGAAAAACAATAAAACCACTTGGCCCCCACCATAGTGCTTTCATCTGTTTCCTTGAAGAAACCCTTATGAAACACTCACACTCACTTTTTTAAACTCATGTAGTATCATGTCAAAGGTGACCTTTTATATTTTAAGACTGTCTTTGATTAGTATTATTTTTTAAAGTTTGACTGACTGAATTTTCCTTGCAGGCTAAATGAACAATGTGTTGGGATTATTGAGTTTATTGTAGTGCATGCTCATACCTGACGTGAATTAGGATGTACATCTAAATCATCAACATCTGTTGTGTGAGCTTTTATATCATGGATACTTTCCAAGGAGGGATACTAAAGCAAAATGAGCAAAGAGATAAAATAAAACAAAAAAAAATGCAAAAAACATTACACTGAAAAAACATTTTTCTACAGTGTAGTGGCCTATATCAGTTTACATATAGATACCGCAGATACAAATGTCAGGGTGTAAACTAATTTCTCCTTACAATATCACCCCTGAATCACACATGAAGGTCACAAGAATAAAAGGAAATGATCACCAGCTAAAGAAACTCTTGATTGTTAAACAAATTCTCCTTGTCAGCACCTTAGGACATGTATAGAGAACAGTATAGAGAATATGCCTCCTGATGTTTACGTGTAAAGGATTGAATTTGTCAAATCTGAAGAACCAAACAAAACTGACACCAAACAAAGAAAACTCCTCAACCACAAATTACATTAAAATTACAAAAATTAAGGAGAATCATAAGCTCAAAATAACATTTGGAAATTCCCTTTTACCTTCAGAACCCTAACATGCCCATCAGATCCTCCAGTAATAATGTGCTGTCCGTCTGCTGTGAATCGCACAACTTTCTGAAAACCTACATCATCATCATCTTTTGAATCATTGTCCTCTGCTGAAACTGTCACTTTAGATTCTAATTCTTTGACAATAAATTCTTGTGTCTTTTCTTTGACAATAACTTTTTTTTTTCCTTTCACTTTTTCAGTGTTCTTTACTTCCTCCTTAATATCAATCTCAAGTAACTGACATTTATTGTCCATTCCAACAGCTATGACATTTGATGTTGGATGAATCGCACAATTCATAATTGGCCTCCTCCCAGCTTCAAAGTTATGGACTAGTGTTGCTTTGAGTTCTTTACTGTTTTGGCCAAGCTTGTAAATATTCTAAAAAAAAGAGAGAGATTACCACGTTGTCAGGATAAAAATTCTGCTGTTGCCTAATCTGATCTCATTGAACATAAGTTCAATGTTGAAATAATACAAAGCACACAGTACTGTTTGGTACAAAATTCAGAGGTTCTTAGTTCAAGTACAATATACCAAGCTTGTAAATGGGCAGTTGAAGTTAGTTTGCCTCGTTAATTGCAAACTCGATTATAACTTAAACATAATTATATTATTTTGGAACTTTTGATACATACATTTTCCCTACAAAAAAGATACGATTTTCCCTCAATAGTTCACATCTACTATCATCCCACGTTGCCCTTGCTCACCGCAAAAATAAGACTCGACACCTGTAAAAGCTTGTAGTTAAAACTTTGATTTGAAGAGTACCACGATCATATGAACTGTACGTTCTCTTGAACAATGAGTCGAGGAGTAGAATCAATTTATCGAATGAAATGTGGACGAATCCATTAAAAAGAAGATTAAACACAGAAAAAAATAATAAACAGACACAGCAATACGACATGAACTATAAAATATTTGTAAAAATCAGTGTAAACAAGTAAAGAGCGAAAATACACACCAAAGCATTTGGGACCCCGGTCTTCGCCGCCCCTCCACCACCGGCGATCAAAAAATGATCCTTGTCTAGGACGTTCACGGCATACAGAGGAAAATTCGTTGTCTCTAAAGTTGTGAAAGACATCTTCCTAAGAATTTACTAACGCTGATTATTCTACAAGTCAAAAGTTAAAAGATTCTGTCACAAAGGTATTCATTTAGTCAAAGTATTCGACGTGGCTCGCGCGGTTACATTGCTTATGGTTATAACCGCTGATTGGTGTTTCCTTTGTTCGCGGGAACGTTTCAGACAAAGGGTATATGAAAGTGCGCATGCCCCTGTCTTTTATCTTTTTTGTCTGTTGTTGCAAGAGAGCATCCGCGCGAGTTTTCTGGAAGAATTAAGGATTAAAGAAAAGCAAAATCAACGTAAATAATAGTCCTTGTCTGTTTTTTAGTTTGTTCTGTCTTTTGTTCCATATCCGCATTGGCCATTCTACATTTGCATAAATTATGGAAAGTGTCTAGACACTATTGTATTTTGAACATTTGCCTCGGGAAAACATAACGCTAACTGCGTGACTCAGACATATGTGAAATGATTCTGTCCTCCACTTGATGCAGTAAAGATTTAAGTAACACACGACCTAACTTCGCACCGACATAGCAAAGGTATTTATCTTCAAGTTATTTACACAACAGTAACCAAGAATTAGAAGCCATGACTAGTAACACAGTCCTTATCGGAGCTGCAGTGTGCTCCTCGCTTGCCGTCGGCTACCTTCTTGGTAAACTCCACGGCTCGTGCCGATATGCAGACGACTATATTCAAAGGCCTGGTAGAGAGTATAAGAAGACTGCTGGATTGAAAACGTTTCTCGAATATGTCGCCAAATACTCCTCTGCAGAGCATCATACAGTCACTGAACTGAGGAGGGTGAGTATTGAACTTTCTAAAGAGAATATAAACTGCCTTTCTCAAGAGAAAATAACGTTAAAGTGCTTATGACACGAAATTTTTTGTGTATTTTCTGGTTGATAGCGATATTTTAAATTAGAAATAATCGACCTTGGCGCCTGGCGAGTTCTCCTTGCTTAGGGTTAGGATTTAGGGTTAGGGTTTAGGTTTTTTTTTTTTTTTTTTTGTTTTTTTTTTTTTTTTTTGGTGCATTGAAAGTACGATTTGGCGGCCAGAAAGTGACCCCATTAAGCGCGCGGCCAAAACGATCATATTACATAGCTGTAAGGTTGAAAACTGTTAAGACACGTCGGCAACTATAGTGGAGAGAGGAGAAATCCAGAGGAAAAGACGAACGTATTTCCTGGTTGGAGTGCCAAGTGGTGTTAGCTACAAGAATAATACACATATACCGAGTATTTCTTTACACTACTTTCCAAAGGATGTAGTTGCGTGGTTAAAATGGACGCGTTTCGAACGTTGTCATCAAGGAGATTTTACTCTTCAATATCATTGGCCTTATGCTCTGTACCGGCTTCGAAGATTGGTTATCTTCAGGGGAAGATAACCAATGAATTCAGCTAAGAAGAATATCGATTAAGGGGCCTGTTCCCATTCCGAACACGATTGTTCGACATTCTTTTCGGCTGGCATTTCGCAAGCGAAGAAAGGTGATCTCCTTATTGTTATTTATTCCACGCGCTAGAGATGTACTTATATTCCTTGTCTTTCCACATGACTACATTTGCGCTTTTCTTATCGTATGAAAATCAAACCAATTGTAGTTTCCATCGTATTTTAATGACAGAACTACATCATTTGTAATAAAGTTCAAACCCTTTCTTGAGCTGATCGATATCCTGTAGCGTGAACAGTGCGTAACCTCTGGCGGATATTGGCATAAACCCAAGCTCGAAACGGCCGTATATTCTCCTAACCTAGATTCCCGAAAATCCATCCCACGAGCTATCAATTCTCCCCGCTCTTAAGAAGCTAAAAGTAGCAACAGTAGCAATGTCATTGTGATAACAGCACTGCAACGAGATAAATAAAGAAACACAAGTTTTATTGAATTAGATGGTGGCGAATCCAAGTGCTGTGTGAAAGTCGATTCATACGAAATATTCATTCACCCATTGGGCGAAATGGGTCATATGGCGATGAGGTTAACTTGAATCAGATTACTCTAAAGAAATTTTTCATCTCTCTTGAGTATGATGTATCACAACTCTCGGTAGAGCTTGCTGAAGGTAGGTTTACATCGTTATCGGTCATAATTTCAAGAGTATTTCAACGCTGATTGATACAAAATTACAAGACATGTGAGAGATTTGCGAGTGTCAATTGAGAGTTTTCAGAGTTTTCACAGTTTTCTACGTCATCACCCGCTAATTTGTTTCCAGTCCACGAGACATTTTTAAGACAAAATAAGAGCACTTTAGGACCCGAAAAAACCGTGTTTTGGGCTTTTTGAAATTTTTCTTCTATCGGAGTTGGTTTGTACGTATGATAAGCTAAATATTTACGCAAAAAAAAAATTTCGTGTCATGGGCACTTTAAAGGAGGGGCGCATTGGGGTCTGTTAGACACCTCAAAACCGTAGGAAAAAGTGAATCAGGAAGGTGTCATAATCTTGTACCTGGATGAATACCCTAGGAATTTTCGGCAACCGCTCATGTTGAGGCTCGATTTTCATGTTATTTCCATATTTTGTAGACATCGCGCACTTAACAAAATTCATTGAAGTTCTTTTTCTCGGAGACATCAGAAAATGTAGGAAAATAAATTGCGCTATGTGGCTCTGCAGTAACACAGTGAGGGCTTGAATAAATTAGCGAGCTTTGGCAGAATCGCACTCGTCACAGTAACGCAACCTCTAACTCCTTAAACTCAGAGTGACCAGCATCTAATTTCTCCTTACAATATCACATCTGAATCAAACATTAGGGTCACGACATATGAAATGATCAAGCGTACATTTGATTTGTAATTTTTACTTGTAGTTATAGTGAATTTAATGCTTAGGATTTTAATTTTTACGGTATTTAGAGTATTGTAAAGCGCCGTGGACAATAAATGGAAGATGGCGCTATGTAAATGTATTTAATTAATTAATAAATTAATTGAATAAGCTCTTGAATGGTATGCAAATTCTCCTCGTCAGCGCCTTAAGAAATGTATAGAGAACAGTGTGGAGAATATGCCTGCTGATATTAGGGAGTAAATGGTTAAAAGAACTCAAGAATTTTGCGGGAAGTTCGATCGAATCTCAAACCTTCCAAACTGGAGTAAAACCGATTTTCAACATAATGCGTGAAGGTAACTTTAAGTTACTCATAAAAAGTGAATTATCTGCCGGTTTCAATTTTGTGACCTCACGATTTACTTAGAATTTTATTGACCAAGAACAGTTTCCGCCTTCTGTGCAAAAGGAGGGTTACATGCTCAAAATTGGCCTGATTCTGCTCAAATCAAACACGACTCGAGGTGACCAATAATAAATGTTACATTCGGCATAATTCACGTCCACATGTCCAGCGATTTGCCACTCCACAAACCATTATTTGTTTGTCTTAAGGTAATTTGCGAGAAGCTGGAGGAATTTTCACCTAAGGCGACAGAGGCTGACCAAACAAACTTCATAACTCAGTTGGCAAAAGCGATCGGAGCAAGAAAGGTTCTCGAAGTGGGTATGTTGCGTTTCAAATTGAAATAAACAAAAAAATTCACTTTAAATTATCCTCAAAGCTGGAGGAAGTTTTAATTTAAAAAGAAGTACAGGTTAAAGGGTTGCTTCTACATTATGTGAGAGCAAACCTTAACTCTGAATCCTTGCTGCAAATTTTTGACAATTCACTGATTTCTTGTGGACGAAATTTGTTTCCATCTTTCATTTCTTCGGAGCTGCAGCACTTTTAATGTCTTTCTAAAATTTGTCTGATTTCCACTTCGAAACGATGACATGCACGATGTTCGTGACATCAATGGAATGAAAGAAAAATGAAAGAGCGGATAAAATCCGAGAGTAACAGAACATTTTATGAGAGATCCTATAAATAGATAATTGAAGACAAGAATGAGACTGGCGTCACCAGCTCACTTTTGTCCTCTCCAAGTGTGTTGATAAAGTAAAAGCAGCCATTGATATAAGCTGTGGAATCACATTTTTGAGTAATATAGGAGAGCTATTTAATTTAGTCTAGCTTGTCCCAGTTAGTAGAACGAAGTGCGGCAGTGAACGACGCTTTAGTAACGGGGTTAGGAAAAAAACGAGGGAGGAATGGGTGGAACCAAATTATAATCTCTTTGCCTAGGTCTACTAGCGCTACTATCGTACCGTTTACTTTTCGCTCCGTTTGCGTGAACAGACTAACATAAGTCAAGCCAGTGCTTAGGAATAGTGGACTGTATCATTTTCACACGCAGGGACGTTCGCTGGCACAACTTCACTTAGTATTGCACTTGTTTTACCCGAAGACGGTCAAATGGTAACAATAGATTTCAAGGAGGACTGGGTCTCCACAGGACGCCCAATCTGGGAAAAGGCAAGATCGTCTGCTTTGTTTTATTTTGTTTTGTTTTGTTTTTTTCATACTTTATAAAAGTACTGGCGATTCTCTCTCGTCTGCTTTGTTTTATTTTGTTTGTGTGTTTGCAATGTTTTTTTCATCCATGCATATTAAATAGTTGTATCAAGATCTAAGTAACGAATGTGATAATTTTTTTTATAGAAAATACGCAATATAAATATTAAATAATATTATTTTTTTTATAAATAGGATGTTTGTTATCGCGCACTCACTGTGGGTATCCAAAAGGAGAAAGCATGCAAATAATGTTAGCGATAGTAATAAGCCAATAAGATTCGAGGATTTTGTCATTATTATGACGGTTCATTTGATTAAATAATATTTCACTGCCATTTTACAGGCTGGGGTAAGCCACAAAATTAGGTCTATAATAAAGGACGCAGCCCAGGCTCTCGGTAAGTTACAAACTACGTCAATAGTGTAAGTGACGCATTGAGGATGGTTATCTTAGCTAGCTTTAAAAGATCATCATTTAAATCGCAAGCCACGTACTATCGGGGATGGAGAGTAGGAATGGCGCAGAGCGGGGAAGTGAGGATGGCGCAGTGGTGAGGGCGCTCACCTGTTATCGCTGTGGCTCGGGTAACATTCTTGCACCAAGTGTTACAAGTGGGTCGAGTGTTATTGTTGGTTCTCGTCCTTGCTCCGAGGGTTTCCTCTCCAGGTCCTCCGTTTTTGCACTCTAAGTTCCATATCGACTAGGATACAGTGGACAAGAAGAGCCACCTCGTAGAATGTTCACAGCTAAATCCCCATTATTACTATTATTATCATTATTATTATTATTATTATTACTAATTATGTAATAAATAAATTCAAGCTTATAAAGTCAGAGTGTTAGACACTGAGGGAAGGTTTAACATTCGCCTCAAATCGACTTTCACTTTTTCACTCTTTCCTTCGTCTATACTTTTCCTTCTATTGCTTTTCTTTTAGATGAATTGCTTGTTAATGGAGAAACTGGAACTTTTGACATGGTTTACATTGACGCAGATAAGTGGAACTATCCTGTGTATTATGATAAATGCATGCAGCTTGTACGCAAAGGAGGAATTATTCTATTGGACGATGTAAGAATGACTCACCTGTATGTTGTATACAAGTTTCGACAAGCTCATAACCTGAATTTGGAGCCGTGATAAGTTCTGTGCTGGCCTTAATTTTTCCACTATCACTAAAGCTGAACGCAAATGCTTTTCAACCGTGCAAGATGAATTATAAAACAATAGATAAACGTATTTGAAGTTGTCTTAAGGGAGCATTCTGGGAAAGAGAATTTAAGAAGAAAATCGATTTGTGAAAACGCTCCATAAAAAGAAGTGCTGGAGTTGCTTAGTGCAAATCGTATAGTTTTAAGTGCAGTGGGTGAAAAAGATCTTTAATTCACTGAACTATCTTATCAACATAATTTTTATTGTAAGGAACGATATATGTGCCGATGAAAGCTGTTGAAACCTAACCAATCACAGTGGAGAACAATGCCAAACCGGTCGACCCATCTCCACAAGCAGTAGCAGTAGTAGTAGTTTAGATAGAGTAGCGAATTGCATGTATAGGATTTTTATCGAAATTTTGTTAATTTGTAATTGTAAAGCGCATAGAGTTCAATTTTAATGCGCTATATAAGAACTTATTATTATTATTATTATTATTATTAGCAGCAAGGAGTTAAAATGTGACGGTCCATATTGGAAATGATTTTATTGAGAGACAAACGATGATTATTGCATTTTAACGCGATAAACAACCACATTATTTATATGGTGTAATTCGTAATGTTTTATCTTTCATTTAGACGCTATGGGAAGGCTATGTTTGTGACCCAAAGATCAACAAGGATGGCAAAACATCAGAGGTTGAACCACTCGACTATCAGAGAGATTCAATTGAGTTATACAAGTACCACCTTCCGTCAATATACAAAAGGATTGCTGTCCACATGCACGCGTTGAACAAGAAAATAGTTAAGGATCCACGGGCACTGGTTAACATCTTACCAGTTGGATCGGGCCTTACCATAGTCACAAAATTATGACGTGTTATGAATTCTTGACCCATTTATTGTTTTCAGTTTCCACGTAAATGATGATAAATCATGTTTGCTTTCAATAAAGTTATCAAATGCTAAGTAGGCCTGAAAAGATCAGCTTTATGAGGCTATGGTGTGTCCTTCCAGCACTCAATTACTAGTTGAAATCACTAAAATTATTTTTGTGAGAAAGAGGGCACGATTAGGGACGATAAGACTTACTGCGGTAGACTTTTGTTGACAGTTCTCATAAATTGGTCAGTCGGTTGTCAAAGCCCCGAAATTTTTCCACTCAATTGCTGTATTTTCTCCTCTGTTAACCTTTTGATCCCTAAAATGACAAGGTTCTAGTTTCTCCTATCAATATCTCCCCTGAATAAACGGTTTAAGTCATGCGAATAAAGGAAATGATCAGCAACTGATGCAGCTCTCAATGGTTTTGGAAATTCTCCCTGTTAGAACCCTAGGGGATGTATAGAGAACAGTATGGGGAATATACATAATAATGTTAGGGGGGAAAGCAATGGTTAAGCGGTCACCTCTATAAAGCAGTCGCGGTTACCCTTGACTGAGTCCCAACGGCCTGTTAATTCTATAATTGTTCTTCACCTGTATTGAACGGTCACTTCAAGCGGAACCACTAGAATTAAATCAAGAATAATCTTTCCAGAAAAATTTAATCCATGTTTGGCTACCGAAATCAATGTTAATAGCCAAAAGCTGCGTTCATTTGATTGGTCAGTGAAACATGTTTTTATTAGCTGTCAGAAATTTGCCATGAAGTGTTTCAAAAATGCAAGAGATATTCTACTTAAGTTAACTGACAGCTGTTTTATATGCAAATCATATCGCTTTTCACCCAACACTGGTGACTTCACTGACATTTGTTCTGTTTGTACGCAGCAGAGAGGTAAATCGTTTCAGTTTTGCTCGTAAGCTGCGAAAGCAGTTTAATTAGCTAATAAACTTTTCTTATTTCCATATTCTTTGTCACTATAGCACTGCCCTTTTTCTCAAAAGACAGCATGATGATGTACAAACTTAGACCTAAGACAGTAAAATCACCCTTTGGCAGGACATATACGTCAAGAAAGGGTAACAAATTGACTCTTGTTACGAGAAAGATATCCTAATTTTGAACCACTGGAAAAATGTTGCAGAAGTTTAATTCATAAAAATATTGATTACAAATGTCAATAGTAGAGGAACATCTTCATTTTACCTTGTGTGTCAAGGAAATAACTGGAAGTTGCCATCTCACTGAACGGACATTTTATTTCCAAGAATCTACTTTCTTAGCATTGGCAACCCAAAAAGCTACTGTGTGTAATACTTGTTTTTCGATCAACGCTGCACAAACTTGCTAGCGCTGCCCACTCATTTTTTTTTGACTGATAGTAAGTTCTAAACTATAAGTAAGTTTAATTCTAAAAAGGTTTTGATGATAGGTTGTTATCTTAGACATAAATGCATACTTAGTTTTGAATTATAATATCATACATGAATAGATGGATATACATGTTTTTAGAGGAATTGAAGAGATGTTATACATTTTTTTCTGTTAAAGCTACGTAGGAAGTTTTTTAATGCATTTCAGTCAATTTATAGTAGATGTGTTGGTAACAATGTGAAATTAGCCTCATTGATTGGCTCAGCCATAATTGTCATAGTGTATTTGGATGAAAGTTAAAGCGAACTTTAATTTCAAAGTGCTGTGTCAATCTATCATGCCAACTGCGTGTAAAAACGAAAACACATACTCACTATTCGACACCTAATGTAAGCGGCATCATCCCCTCCCCCTTTCTTTTATTGATATGGCTTTTAACACCTGTGCTTCCTTTAACGATTCTAGCCAACGAGATAATACCTATCATCAAATCCAGATTCAGTCTCCCGGCGAAGTAACGGCGGAAATTGGTCTGGTATTGAATCGGAGGTTGGTTCATCGCTTTCTTTGGTCTGGTGGGAATAACCTGAATTATTTTCATCATCGCAAGAAGAAGAAGATTTCAAAAAACAACAAACTGGTTCATCATTTTCTTGGCGGTAGCTGATCTGGGTGTTACTTTCGAATATTTCCCGGCCTCCATGATATGCAAAGTGCTTTTATAGATAGTTGCACAATTTAAATTCAAGTGGAAAAGGAAGCTTTCAGTCCATTAAGTCCGTGTACAATAATTGTGTCGACAAAGACATAAGATTAGTCTCACTGATTGGCTTAGCGTTGTTAAATTGCATATGAGCTAGTAATTATAGCGAACTTTAAAACCAAGATAAATTTATAGTAGCATGTTTATTCATTATGGTACTAGGAAGGTCGCTGCTGCATCATGTAGTTTTATTTCCATGTTCGTAAGGAGCTATTATTTTTGAATAATAGATATCGGAGAGCAATTGGCTGGTGAAGGAAGGACTTCTTCTGTTTGGAAATTTTAATTTGACGCCATTAAGCTTTTTAAAGCTTGAAAGCTCTCTTGACAGCCTCATACGGGGTTGTATTAAAAGAGATCGCCTCCGGGTTGCAATCTGAAACCCGTTGATTTAACATCTATGCTTCCATCAAGAGCCATAGTCGACAGCAAATCTACATTATCAGATCCAGATTCAGTCTCACAGCCAGTAAAGGATGGATTTTGACTGGATTGTTGGCTGGTTTTTCACTTTCTTTAGTCTGATGGGAAACACCTGGGTTATTTTCCTCATCGCAAAAAGAAGAAGATTACAAACAACAGCTAACTGGTTCATCCTCTCCTTAGCGGTGGCTGATCTGGGTGTTACTTGTGGATATTTTCCGGCGTCCATGATCTGCAATGTGCTTGTGGATACATGCAACGACGATGTTCGCCTGAGGTTCGCTGATTTCTTCATTGATGCTTCACACATTTGCTTGACCACTTTGGTTGCAGAACGCTATATTGCCATCGTCCATCCCTTAAAATACGTCCGTCTCCTGACGTCAACTAGAACAATTTTCATTATTGCGACCTGTTGGGCAATTCCGTTTTTTTCTCTCGTTTTTCGATTCATCATTTATCTTTTCGGCAGCCAGGATTTTGCTGCAGAAACGGCTAAATTTGGTGTCATCTTCACCGTGCTCTTTGAAGTGTTACCAACAATTCTTCTTTTCTCGGCACATTTTCATATCCTATTAATAGCCCTCAAACTTTCTCGCGAGATGAAAACTCTTTTGAAACAGGTTAAATTTAACGTAGCGACAAATTCAGTGAATATAATGACAGTTAGAAATGTGGGATTAAAATCACCCACGGTGAGGTTGGTAACAGTACTTGTTATAATATTTGTTGCTTATTATGGATTAGAAATCCATGCGTCAATCTGCTTTGGCTTTAATTTTTGCGATGTGTCCAAGCATGAATTAGTAGCAGCAAATTTGCTGCTTTTGGCCAATAGTACGTTAAATCCTCTTGTTTATGCGTTCCTCAAAGAAGGTATCAAGAGAGAATCAAAAGCTTTCTTTTGCCGCAGGAGAAGACTTCAAGGACATCCGTTCTAAGTTCATCGGGGGTAGCAAGCCGGGAGATGAATTAATGCCAGGAATTAAAAAGGGAATCAAAAGCTTCCCTTTACCGACTTTACCGCAAAACTTATTCAAAACTAACGTCTCCCAGGTCACAAGACGTTTGAAGACCAGCAATGATAGTAAGAAAAACATGGAATTATACTCAACCACCAATCTTTGACAAATAAGTGCAGCACAAGTAAGAGTAGATTGTCAGTGGTTGAGGTAGCTTCTTTAGCAATTAATGGCTTAAAACAATATTTCCACGCTGCGTTTCAATAAATTTTCGCCTTAAAACTACTCCTACACTGCACACCTCAAAAAATGTTAGGCATTACCTAATTCCCTCTATCAACCTTGGCGGACAATTTCTAAGTCTTAAGCACACAGTGCCTGATTCGTTACACATGAAGTCAATTTTATTTTGAAAGCACTACTTCAAAGTTAACGTAAGAAAGAGATTCATATTTTTAATGTAGGTGATGAAGACCCACAGAGGGCGCGTTCATCAAGATGAGTGTCGCTTAGTTGTGCGTTTCTATGCTATTCTACTATTCTTTATCTTTTTGCTAAATAAAAGTTATTATCAAAAATCTTTGTGGTTTGGTCCCTGTACGATGTCAAAGAAATATTTATGCCAACAGCTGCATACAGTTTGATGGTTCAGTAAAAAATGTTTTCCTCAACTGTCATTAGCTGTTATTTGTCGACAGCAAATAAAAAGCTTAATTTTTTGCTGGTGCATACTCATGTTAGCCTTTGAGAGCACATGTTTTTATAATTTCTGCGTTCAAAATTACTCGCGGAAAGTTCACCAAGTGCTCAGCGTACGTGATCAGTGAATTAAGAATGCACGTTATTTAGTCTGGGATCTTAGGCTACTGAATCCGTTTACGGCAGCGTGGAGCTCTGCCAGTACCAATCGCTTTCACAAATTATTTTTTTTCTTTTCTTGACAGAATGATACTTTTTCTCTCTTCTTTGGGCCTGTTTTTTTCTTCTTTTTTTTTTCCTTTTTTTACCAGAATTTCTTCCGCTTTTGATTTTTCCAGGAGCAACGATTTTTCCACAAGCAAAGAGCTTCCACATGTGAATTTTACGAAGCGCGCGATGCAAACAAAACACGCGAACAACTTTTGAAAAGAGCCCCAAGGTGAGCGGTTGTCGCGAAAATTCCCCTAGCAGAAAACCTCCTTTAAAAAAAATCGCGATTTTTTTTAATAAAAGTTTTTTAATAGAAAAGAAAATTTAATAGAAAAGTCAGTAAAGTCGCCAGAGAGTAAAGACGATATTATCTGCAAATTTCACAATTACATGCTGTCTCACAGACAGTACACGATGCATTTAGACTGGTTTGGAATCGTAGGTTGGTTTTTCACTTTCTTCGGTCTGTTGGGAAACAGCTGGGTTATTTTCATCATCGCGAGAAGAAGAAGGTTACAGACAACAACAAAGTGGTGCATCGGTGGCCGATCTGGGTGGTATTTGCGTGAATCTTCCGCGGTATCCATGATCTGCGATGTGTTTTTGAATACATGCAACAAACGCGTTCGTCTAATATCCGCTGACTTCTTCATAGAGGCTTCTATCATTTGCTTGACTGCTATGATTGCTGAACGCTATATCACTATCGTTCATTCATTCAAATATGTTCGTTTCCTGACGTCCTCCAGGACAGTCGTTATTATTGCGAGCTGTTGGACAATTCCATTTCTTTTCGCCATTTGCCAAACTATCATCCATCTTGGCAGCAGCGAGCATTTCGTCGCAGACATGTATAAATTCGATATCATTTATAAGATGTTCTTCGCATTGTTATCAATAATATTTCTTTTCGTAGCGCATCTTCATATTCTATTAATTGCTTGCAAACTCTCTCGCGAGATGAAATCACTTTTCAAACAAGTCAGATTTAACATAGGAGCAAATTCAGTGAGAAAAATGGAAGTTAGAAACGTTGGATTAAAAACGTCCACAGTGAAGTTGGTAACTAAACTTGTTATTATATTCATTTCATGTTACGGACTAGGAATCCACAACATAATCTGCGTCTACTTTAATCTTTGTGTTCCGTCTAAACATGAAAATTTACTCGTGCTTATTTATTCCAAATTGCACTCGAAATCATATGATTACCTATACAAATATAACAATACAAGAAGCTGTCTTCCTCTGCAATCTTGTAATCAAAAAAACTTTTTCTAGCCCTATATGTCCATTAAATGTAGAGAACGTTTTAATTAGGCAAAGAGAAAGTTGGCTAATTTCACTTACTCTCTAGCTACGTAACTGACTGTTGTCACTCAGCAGAGTGGTAAATCATTTAGTTTTCGATACAGGCTACGAATTAAGTTTAATCAACTAATACATTGATTCGCCCCATATTCCTTGTCACCAAAGCAATTTTTTTATTTTCACAGTACAGCACGATATTATGCAAACCTTGACCTAAGGCAATGGATCGTCCTCAGGCAATCCATCAACTGAAGAAAGTAGCAGGTGGATTCTTGTTCCAATGTATCGATCTAATTTTGAACAACAAAGTGTTGGTAAAATGACTCCATAACTAATTCCACGCTATGCTCTGTCTGAAGTTTGCGTTTCTGCGCGCTTACTGAAGACGTAAAAGGGGATTCAAAAGCCTCCCTTTACCGACTATACCGCAAAACCCATTCAAAGCTAAAGTCTCCCTGGTCACAAGACGTTTGAAGACCAGCAATGATGGTTAGAAAAAAAAGGAACAATAGTCAACCAATAATAATAATAATAATAATAATAATAGTCAACCAATGATCCGAGGCCTTGAAATGTAAAGTTGTACATTAATAGTTTAATTTATACAGTTTTTCAAGAGGAATTAAAGTAGTAATGCACAATTCTTTCGGTTGAGGTAGGAAGTCTTCCATTTCAGTCCATTCATTGCAGGTGTGTCGATTATGATAATAAAATAAGTCTTACTGATTGGCTAGGGGTTGGAAAATTGCAAATGGATCAAAAATTATAGCGAACTTTAATTGCACAGTAAACGATATTTGAAATATGTTTATTCTTGATGGAGGCAAGACACACTACGCGGATCTACCACGTCAAGTGCACATAAAAAAGGAAATATATCCACCATGCAACACCCAGTGAGGACAGAGTTATTTCCCTCTATTTCTTACATGGCTTTTCATAACCATGTTTTTACTACGTCCTACTTTTTTGAAGAAAACGTTTTTTACATTTAGGCTTATTCAAGATCAGCCTTCGAGCAGGCTTTCAAGTTACGTCACGACCAGCTCGTGTCTCGTAGTTTCGCAGCCGCTTCTGCCGCAGCCCTCGCAGTGAAGCGCCTATCGAGGAGTGTTCGCAAGCTTGAGAGTAATGAAGCAAAAACCTTAGCCGGTGCAGTGATCCATCTCACAATTGTAACTCATTCATTGAGTATAACAAAGGTTATTCTGCATTGTCGTGAATTAAGTATATGTAATTACCCCATAGGTGGTAGGTTGCAGGTGTGTCGATTATGATAATAAAATAATTCTTACTGATTGGCTAGGGGTTGGAAAATTGAAAATGGATCAAAAATTATAGCGAATTTTAATTGCACAATTGATGGAGGCAAGACACACTACGCAGATCTACCACGTCAAGTACACATAAAAAAGAAAACATATCCACCATGCAACACCCAGTGAGGACAGAGTTATTTCCCCCCTATTTCTTATATGGCTCTTCATAACCATGTTTTCACTACGTCTTAGATTTTTTGAGAAAACACTTTTTACATTTAGGCTTATCCATGAGTAGCAAAAGAGCAGGCTTTGAAGCTACGTCACGACCAGCTCGTGTCTCGTGGCTTCGCTGCTTCTGCCGCAGCCCTCCTAATGAAGCGCCTAACGAGGAATGTTCGCAGGCTTGAGAGTAATGACGCAAAGATCCCAGCCGGTGCAATGATCTATCTCGCAAGTGTAACTCATTCATTTGGAATAACAAAGGCTATTCTGCATCGTCGTGAATTAAGTATATGTAATTACCCCAAGTCTCACGAGCGAACAATATCATATATTTTCCAAAAAGGTTGAGCGGCTGTCACCCTTCTGGTTTGCGCTTTGTTGCAACTTCTAAGCCTAAATTAAGCTTAATAGAAGATGTGTGGCGTTACATCAATGATGCTGCCATTGCGCGGAGAAAGTGTATCTAGCGAGGCTGAGAAAAAATATGTGAGAAGGTATCACCGACACAAGTCACTATGTTTGGTGATGATCAATAGGTTATTGGCTGTCGAAATCAAACGTTACTCTTGATCGCTCTGCTGATATGAATATATTTGAATATGAGGCAATGGTATGGAACGGGTATGCTCTATTAGTTTGCAAGCTCGTAATTGTCCATGCTGACAAAAAGGTCCATAAATGCCAAAATTGTGCAAAAATAAAATAAAACTTAGTAAAAATGAGTGACGTTACCTATCATCGTTAGTAGGAACGTTATCAGGAGTTATTAGCTAATGAAGAAAGACTTCTTTTGATTGAAATTTGTTGTCCAATTACCATTAACTGATATCTTTAAGCTCTTTAGGCAGCCGCACCTGGAGTTGTATCAAAGAGGTCTCCTCCGACTCGCATCTGAAAACTCGTTCTACTGACTGATATCTGCTTTCTTCAACGCTCCAAGTCGACAACAAATTTACGTTATCAGAGAAGATTCAGTGAGACAACCAGTAAAGAATGGATTTTATCCTGGTAGTTATTCTGTTTTTCATCTTCTTAAGTTTGGTGGGAAACAGCTGGGTTATTTTCATCATCGCAAGAAGGAGAAGATTACAGACAACATCCAACTGGTTCATTCTTTCCTTGGCGGCGGCTGATCTGGGTGTTACTTGTGTATTTGCGCCCTACATGATCTGCGACGTGATTTTGGATACGTGCAGGGAAAGAGTTGTTAAGGTTTTCGCCTTTTTCTTCGTGAACGTCTCCGCCATCGGGTTAATCGCCATGGTTGCAGAACGCTATGTTGCAATCGTGCATTCGCTGAAATACGTCCGCGTCTTCACGACCACCAGAAGAACATTTATTATTATTGGGACCTGTTGGGGATTTCCATTTCTATTCACCGTTTTGAGACGCGCCATGTATCTTGCCGACGGCAGACATTCGGTTAAAAGCCATATAGTCGAAGTTATTTACATTTTTCTTTTTGTAGTGGTACCGACAGTGCTTCTCTTGACAGCACATTTTCATATCCTTCTAATTGCTCGCAAACTTTCTCTGCAAATGAGAACTCTCATGAAACAAGTTAGATTTAACATGACCGCAAACTCTTTGAAAACAAAGGAAATTAGAAACGTGGGACTAAAAGCATCCACAGTGAGGTTGGTTTCTGTACTAGTTGCTATTTTTACCACTTGTTATGGAATAGGTTTTTACGTCTTGCTCTGCTACACCTTCAAAATCTGTTCTGTGTCTGAACCGATACAAGTGATTAATATGTTGCTTCTATTGGCCAATTCTACGTTGAATCCTCTTGTGTACGCGTTCCTCAAAGAAGATATCAAGAGAGAAACAAAAGCTTTTCTTCGCCGCAAGAGGCACGTAAAAATACGTCCCTTCCAGGTTCATCCAGAGTGACAAGTTAGAAGAAGACTTCCATTCAGCAATTCTGACACAACAAAGTATGAAATGATGCAAAATGGTCCGTGAACATTGTAAATACATTTGAATTTAGTACGAGTTGTAGTGCTGTCGATTCGATGTGAATGCTTTTGTAGTATTTTAACAAGTCGGTAGTTAGTTTCACCACTCAATCTGTCACCTCAAAATTATCTTTTGCTGCCAAAGACAGGCTAGGCCCTGCTTAGTTCAGTGATGTTTGGGCCATAACTGTCTTGTTTTCCCATCGTTTAGATTAGTCCTAATTCTGTGTACATGAGTTCATGGATCTTCTATTGCCACCACTGTCGGCAAAAAAACCTAAAGAAGGCTGAAATTGTGTTAATGTAAGCTGAACGCTTGTAGATGAATAAATCTTCAGGATTGATGCTTACGAAACTGATGCACACAGCTAAAAAAACAATTTTCTCTACTACCAATTTCTAACTATCATCTTTTAGGGAACAGATATGGAAATGCAGGAACTGTTCAACTTCGAGGGTAGACTGACAAAATGAAGAGAAACGAACGAACGAAGAAAGAAAAAAAAATACTATTTCAGTCCTCAGGAGCTACGCAATATTTATCATAAGGGCGCCTTGACCAAGTCATCATATATACATGCTTTCCCTTTGTGGAGAGCCGCCATTATTAACTTTTCGCTGGAGCGAAGTGAATGTTTCCAATATGCTTAGGGACAGAGACACTTCAAGGGTGCATTTTTTAAGCTACGTGTCGCATGATTGTGCGTTCTTTTGCCAAGCAGTTGTTTTACTCTCTATTGAATGAAAAAAAATTGTCAAAAATCTCTGAAATTTGGTTCTCGTACAATATAAAAACCAATCTTCTGCCAACAGCTGCGTACATTTGAAGGGTCAAAAAAACATGTTTCCATAAGCTGTCGTGAATTTTCCATCGAATGTTTGGAACGCCTTTAGAAAGCAAATATAAACCTCTTTTTTCGCCGTTGCATATTTATATAAGCTTGCAAGAGCAGATGCCTTTTCAGCTTTTGACTTCAAAATAACACGATCAACATGATCAGAATATAAAGAGTGCTTATTCCTTGGTCCGGGATCGTAAGCTGCTGTAACCGTCTTTGTCTTCGTCTGGCACCCTCTATAACAATCCAAATGGTAGTCCTCTCAAGCATTTTTATGAACGAACAGCCTGTTTCAAGCATTATATGCCCGGAAATGTAAGAGATGTTTCAATTAAGTAAAGTGAAACTTGTCTCATAACTTGCACAATAAACAAAATATCACTCCAAGGCCAACACTCTGGCGACTCGAGTGACATTTATACTGCTACCACTTAGGAGAATGTTGGATGATTTTGGTATTTCAGGTATGTCACTATTGCAGTTTGATCAATTTATCTACTCTTCTTCCTTATATATTTTTCCATAGCAATTTAAAAGGAAAGCAAAAGCTTTCCTTCACCGACTATACGGCAAAACCCATTCAAAACTAACGTCTTCCGGGTCATAAGACGTTTGATGACCAGCAATAATAATTAGGAAAAAAAGGAATAATACTCACCCAACGATCCGAGGCCTTGAAAATTAAGCTTTAGTGCAGCGTAAATAAGGAAGTGTCATTTCAAGGTTATCGCACGAAAACGATTAATTGTTTCCAAGGTAGCCAAAAGATAAACACCCATGGAGAGCGCATTCATCGAGCTTAGAGTCGCTTAGCTGTGTCTCTCCATTCTAATTGTTTATTGAGTTCTTCACTGAATAAAAATCATCTTAAAAGATTACTAGGGTTTGTTTTCTGTCAGTTTTGAAAGCTACCTTTCTGTCAATAGCTGCGTACATTTGATGGGTAGATAAAACATGCTTTTACTATCTGTCATAAATTTCCCAAAAGTGTTTGGAATTTTCAATTGAAGGAACGCTTCTCGACAACTGATAAAAAGCTCAACTTTTCGCCGGTGCATATTCATATAAGCTTGCGGGAACAGTTTCTACGTTTCAAAATTACGCGTGGAAAGTTTAGAAACTGCTCAAAGTGATTGGTAAATTAAAAATGGCAATATGCTAGTTTAGGGGTTTAGGCTGCTTCATCCGTCTATGTTCAGCACCACCTATGTCAATTCAAGAAACTATCCTCTGTGATCGAACGAGCTATTGCCATCTTAAATGCTCCAAAATGCAAGAGATATCCGATAAAAGCTTTCATTATAGACTGCGAATGAAAGTTGATCTAGTAATCCACATGTCGTCTCTGCATATACCTTGTCACCACAGGAATGTCTGCTTTTCAACGAACAGAATTATTATACAAACTTTCAATCATAAGGCAGGAGATCACCTTAAGGCAATGCATCAAAAAAACGTAACCTGTGGATTGGTGTTCTGAAAACAATAATTTGAGAGAAAGCTAATTCAAATGCCACTAGTAGAGAAACATGTCTATTTTATCGAGGGTGTCACGGAGAAAATAAGGAAAAGTCCATGAAATGTCAGGAGGTTTCCACATAAGTAAACGGACAGCTTATTTTCGATGGAAAATTTTCTGATTTTTATTAACACCCCCTCTTTTTGTTTTAACTTTTAATGAACTTTTAAGTGAGTAAGTCTTGAATTATTATCTTAGACATACTTGAATATTTAGTTTTGCAATGTAAAATCGTACATTAATAGTTTAATTTACACAGTTTTTTAGAGGAATTAAAGTGGTGATGCACAATTCTTTTAGTTAAGGTATGAAGTCTTTCCTCCATTTTAGTCCATTCATTGCGGGTGTGTCGATAATGATAATAAAATAAGTCCTACTGATTGGCTAAGGGTTGGAAAATTGCAAATGGATTAAATATTATGGCGAACTTTAACTGTACAGTAAAGGATATTTGAAATATGTTTATTCTTGATGGAGGCAAGACACACTACGCAGATCTACCACGTCAAGTACACATAAAAAAGAAAACATATCCACCATGCAACACCCAGTGAGGACAAAGTTATTTCCCCCCATTTCTTATAAGGCTCTTCATAACCATGTTTCCACTACGTCTTAGATTTTTGGAGAAAACACTTTTTACATTAAGGCCTATCCGTGAGTAGCAAAAGAGCAGGCTTTGAAGCTACGTCACGACCAGCTTGTGTCTCGTGGCTTCGCCGCTTCTGCCGCAGCCCTCCTAATGAAGCGCCTAACGAGGGATGTTCGCAGGCTTAAGAGTAATGAAGCAAAGATCCCAGCCGGTGCAGTGATCCATCTCACAAGTGTACCTCATGGGTATAACAAAGGTTATTCTGCATTGTCGTGAATTAAGCTTATGTAATTACCCCATAGGTGGTTGACTCAAGTCTCACGAGCGAACAATATCATATATTTTCCAAAAAGGTTGAGCGGCTGTCACCCTTCTGGTTTGCGCTTTGTTGCAACTTCTCAGCCTAAATTACACTTAATAGAGGATGTGTGGCGTTATATCAATGATGCTGCCATTGCGCGAAGAAAGTGTATCTAGCGAGGCTGAGAAAAAATATGTGAGAAGGTATCACTGACACAAGTCACTATGTTTGGTGATGATCAATAGGTTATTGGCTGTCGAAATCAAACGTTACTCTTGATCGCTTTGCTGATTAATATATTTGAATATAAGGCAATGGTATGGAACGGGTATGCTCTATTAGTTTGCAAGCTCGTAATTGTCCATGTTGACAAAAAGGTCCATAAATGCCAAAATTGTGCAAAAATAAAATAAAACTTAGTAAAAATGAGTGACGTTACCCATCATCGTTAGTAGGAACGCTATCAGGAGTTTTTAGCAAATGAAGAAAGACTTATTTTGATTGAAATTTGTTGTCCAATTACCATTAACTGATATCTTTAAGCTCTTTAAGCAGCCGCATGCAGAGTTGTATCAAAGAGGTCTCCTCCGACTCGCATCTGAAAACTCGTTCTATTATATGATATCTGCTTTCTTCAACGCTCCAAGTCGACAACAAATTTACCTTAAAGGAGCAGATTCAGTGAGACAACTCGTCAAGGATGAATTTTATCCTGGTGGTTTTTCTGTCTTTCATCTTCTTAAGTTTGGTGGGAAACAGCTAGGTTATTTTCATCATCGCAAGAAGGAGAAGATTATAGACAACAGCCAACTGGTTTATTCTTTCCTTGGCGGCGGCTGATGTGTGTGTTACTTGTGCATTTTCGCCCTACATGATCTGCGAAGTGATTTTGGATACGTGCAGGGAAAGAGTTGTTAGGGTTTTCGCCTTATCCTTCGTGAACGTCTCCGCCATCGGGTTAATTGCCATGGTTGCAGAACGCTATGTTGCAATCGTGCATTCGCTGAAATACGTCCGCGTCTTCACGACCACCAGAAGAACATTTCTTATTATTGGGGCATGTTGGGGATTTCCATTTCCATTAACCGCCATGTATCTTGCCGGCCGCAGACATTCGGTTGTAAAAACTCATATATTCGATATTATTTACATTTTTCTTTTTGTAGTGTTACCAACAGTGCTTCTCTTGACAGCACATTTTCATATCCTACTAATTGCTCGCAAACTATCTCTGCAAATGAGAACTCTCATGAAACAAGTTAGATTTAACATGACCGCAAACTCTTTGAAAACAAAGGAAATTAGAAACGTGGGACCAAAAGCATCCACGGTGAGGTTGGTTTCTGTACTAGTTGCTATTTTTACCACTTGTTATGGAATACGTTTTTACGTCCTGCTCTGCTACAACTTCAAAATTTGTCCTGTGTCTGAACCTATACGAGTGATAAATAGGTTGCTTCTGTTGGCCAATTCTACGTTGAATCCTCTTGTGTACGCGTTCCTCAAAGAAGATATCAAGAGAGAAACAAACGCTTTTCTTCGCCGTAAGAGGCATTTAAAAACACGCCCCTTCCAGGTTCATCCAGAGTGACAAGTTAGGAGAAGATTTCCTTTCAGCAATGTTGACACAACAAAATATGAAATGATGCAGAATGGCCTGTGAACATTGTAAATACATTTGGAT